AGTTACCGCCGGGGGGGGACAAGCAGGGAGCGGAGGGTTTCGGTGGGATGCCTGCCCCAGCCGGGAGTGACCCTGGGGAGCAAACAGACCTCTCCGCTCCCTCCCAGGGGAGGCAAAGGCAGCGCTGGCAGCCAGGGAAGAGCATCCACGGAAGAGATGCTGGCTCCCCCCAACTTGCCAAGACCCCGAAGGGCTCCCCAGGACCCCCACTGCCCGCAGGCAGCAGCACGAGGGGCGGCAGCGCCGAGGCCCATCCTCCCGCGGCTGGCAGCCAGCCGGCAGCCCCCCCCACCCAGATCCCCATGCAAAAAATCCCCATGCGCTGCCTCCGCACAAGATCCCTTTTTGTTTCCTTTTACGACTAAAGAAACTCGGGGCGGGGAGGGGGGGAAAAGACGCCTGCCTTTCCCGAGCTGCAGCGCTCGCTCCCCGCTCGGCTCCTACCACCGCGTTTGTAATCCCCCAGCTGGGCTTGTTTGGGTTGGATTTTTGTTAAGTAACTCTCATGTCTTTTCTGCAGATTCCTTTTTAAGAATTCCCTTTCTCCCCGCCCCCTCTCTCGAGAGATGGGGGAGGGAAAAAAAAAAAAAAGAAAAACAAGGAGAAAAAAAGAGAAATGTTGAACGCGAGCCAGCTGGCACGCACAAGAGGAGACGGAGAAATCTGCACAAAGGAGCTTCCTCACTCACTTGCTGCTTTCAGCTCAAGAAATCACACAGGGGAGGAGGGTTTGCTCTCCCCCATACATCAGTCAAGCCGCAGCAGACAAAGGAGATTTACCATGACACCCTCCAGAACTGCCACCCAACGGGGGCAGGATCCCTCAATCGCCTTCGCCCGGCGGGAGTCCGAGCTGTTGCAAAACACGCCGAAGTGCAGGGCTTCAAAACAAGCTGTTCAGCGTGGAATTAAGCAGGGTTTTGAATGGAGGAGCCGCGCTCCCGCCTCCGCGCTCGCACTAGGCGCCGGGAGAACTTCGGGGGCTCTCGGGGCCGAGCGGGACAGCGCCAGCGAGCAGCCAGGAGGGAGAAGGCTGAACCCAATTTGAATAAAATGGAGCCACCCTTCTTTTTTAATATGGAGGTGCACCCCACCAAGACTACATCTTCCAGCATGCACTGCAGCCGGAGCGCCCGGGGAGACGTCAAGAAACTTCTGCTGGGACTCCAAGTTTCCGTAGGCTGAGCGTTGATACTGGA